AATGTTTGGACCCCTAAAACCCCTTAAACCCTCAAAACTAAATCATAATACAACATAGCTAACGCAAACGTAAATGATATAATTAAAGATTTTTTTTTAAGTGGTATTTTTGCAAAGATTTTGAAAAGTGAGACTTGAAAAATGGCATTTTTAAAAAATTTTCTTTTTACAAATGAACAGTATATAGTGGCATTTTTGCAATGAACCCAAATATTTAGATAGTTTCTAAACTAATTTTGAATTTTTTTTTATTATTTTTAATTAAAATAGTAATATTCACATATTTAAAAACCAAAAAAAAAGATAACAGATGTTAAACTAGACAAATTAATTAGTTTGGGTACTAAAGTGGGTAACTGAAAAGTGAAAAGTGAGGGTATTAAAAAATTTATCGAAATTGAGTTGGAATATTTTTATGGAATTTTCCCTTTTTTAAAATATAGGTTGCAAGCAAATGTTTAAAACCATTTCTCTACAATAATTATAAAATTCTTTCTTACCGCCAAAATTGCCGGAAATACATTTTTTTCTAGAGAAAATTTTAAAAATGCTACTTTTCAAATGTCACTTTTCAAAAATGTCATATTTTCAAAATCTTTGCAAAAATGTCATTTTTTCAAAAAAAAATTTCATTATCATTTATGTTTGGGTTAACTATATTGTATTAGGGTTTAGTTCTGAGGGTTTTAGGGGTCAAAATATTTTTTAGGGTTTATAATTTTAAGATTTAGGCTTTAAAAATTCATAATTAATGGCATTTTTGCAAATAGACACCCCTAAGTGGCATTCTTGCAAATATACACACCAAAAATGATATTTTTACAATTGCCCTTTTTTCTAGAGAAATTTCAAAAAATGCCACTTTTCAAGTGTCACTTTACAAAAATGCCACTTTTTCAAAATTATTTTTTCTTTGTATTATTTATGTTTGAGTTAATTATGCTCTATTAGGGTTTAGTTTTGAGTGTTTAGGGAGTTTTATTTGTCAAAATATTTTTTAGGGTTTAGAATTTTAAGATATATGCTTTATAAATCTATAATTAGTGGCATTTTTGTAAATGGACACCCCTAAGTAATATTTTTGCAAATATACACATAAAAAGTGACACTTTTGTAATTGCTCTTTTTTTCTA